ATGAAATTAAAACCAAAATCAAAACCCGTTATATTCAAAAATATTTTGAAGTTCACCAATTATCACTTGGAAAGTCCAAACATAAATTTATGCCAAAAAAAAAAAAAAAATTCACCAGACAACAAAGACATTTTATAAACAATAATGAATATTTATTTCATGAAGGCTATTAAAGCAATACACACATATACATTCACCAACTCAATTTGTTTCATCAAAAACAAAAATTTTGTCTCAGCCCATTGATTATGGCTTTAGTTGATGAAATTCTTATAAACCCATAAATATATTGTATGAGCACGAAATAATGTTCTCGTATTATTCTATTGATCAAGTTTGCACTCCTCCAAACATTGTCGCTTTGCTACTTGAAAGCACAAACATGACTAGCCAGCGAGGGTGTGCCAGAAGCCCCTCCAATGCTTAAGTCAGCGATTAGACAATAGACAATAAGCTCTGTGTATTTGAGAGTAGGAGTTGTGATACCTCTACATAGGTCTTGTTATGAGTTTTTATAGATTCTGCCTGGCACAATCTTAGTAGGACTCTAACTCTCCCTAGCAGAGTCCTCCTAGGGATCACTCTTATAAGGATAACATATATCCTTATAACACCCTACTCACTGCCAACCAAGTGAGATGGTTGCCACTCTTTTACACAAGTTGGTAGCACGGTAAACCGAACTAAAACAACCGTGTTTTGAGTTTTGAACAATGAAAAGAACACTCTACTAAGCTGAAAATAGTTCAGTCCTTTGCTTCGGCCCTATTATATCCCTCCTAGATATAAGTAACCCCGGTCCAAATTTTAGCTGAATATCTGCCCAGCCTAGGACCGAACTACTCCACTTAGTGCCTCAGCCCATGACGCAACCCAATGACCTAGAGACTGCACCTAGCTCGGTTCATTCTAACAGATGGACTTAGCTTCGTCCATTCTAACAAATGGACTTAGCTCGACCCATTATAAATTACCCTCTTAATTGCCTCTTAATTCCATTTGCGATGCATGATTGGGATTATTATTTTCAAGCCGTGTTAAAGTATCCAAAAACCACCTGAATCGAACACCTAGGCCAGCCGAGCTAATACTCACTCGGTCTCCCTGTTTTTGAGGTCGTACAACATGCTCTCCTATGTTGTTGACACCACGTACTTACTGGGACATGTGGCTCCTCACGATTGCTTCTACCGCTGTGACAGTCATCAATCATTACTCTAAAATTCGAATAGTCCCGCTGTTTTACCTCCATCTCATATTCATCCCCTATTCTTCAAGCAATTATTGTTTATTGTTCATCTTCTAAGTCAAAAACCAAAACAACTCTCTAAGAGCAAAACTTCAATTTTGCATCGACCCACCTTCAAACTCTGACACTATTGGCCAGAACGTACTCAACACTGCCGCAAAAGCATTTTATTGATCAACATCACGTCCAAAAAACTCATAAGTTCCATGTTTTCTCTTAACTTAACAAACCCATTATATTAATATTGCAAGAGTATGTATAGTTTTTACTTATGTGCTAAAAATGAGCTTAGAATTGAATTAGCTCCCCACAACCCTAAGCCTTACAAAGAACTCTTGCCTAACTGCAACTAGAATTACATACGAACTTTGATTTTGATCTAGAATTCGTAATGAAACCGAGCTATAAACAGGTTTGTGCTCACTTAGATGCGCCTTACCAAACTAGGGAAAACATTGCCTAACCACGACCGAACTGTACCCTAGCTCGTTTCATGGACCGAGATAAACACCTCGCCCTTCCCAAGACCAAGTAAAAAACCATACCTCAGTTTTAGTCGAACTATACATCGTCCCTTCTCTCAAGATCGAGCAAAAATATTTTACACTAATGCCTTAGCTCGGTCACCAGCTGGCCATAACACATTCTACGTTCTTCACTATGCAGACTCTGACTAGGTTTATTCAGACACACCATTCACTACAAAGCCGGGCTAAGGAGCCGAGCAGATATCTGTAAACAAAAGCCACACAAATGGGTAAATATTGGTTCCTCGTGAATTCACCCAGACGCTATAGTTGAATTCCAAAGGAAGTACCACATCCCTGACAACGTTCAATTTGAACTAGCCGAGCCGAACACTGCACCCTAGGGCAAACTTGGCTTTGTTCCGTTCACTCTGTTGTCCATTGTAGAAGGTGGACTCAGATTCCCAGTCCAACTCCTTTTTTGTGAATTCCTTAGGCAGACAAGACTTTGCCCCACCCAGTTTTCCAC